CTTCTGTCTTCTGTCTTCTGTCTTCTGTCTTCTGTCTTCTGTCCATACATTTCGTGAAGCAGCGGCTTCGGCTCGCCGTGATTTCTGGCTTGCTGTTTATCTGTCACTTTTGTGGAAGTAGAACCTAGGCAGAAAATTGAAACGCTGCATACTCCTTCAACTGACACGTCACCGCTCTGCAGTTGAGAAAATTAGGAATTTGTCTTTTCTCCCTTTACAAACTAATGATGCCCTAAGGTGTACAGACAGACAAGAGGTTGTACCTAATCCTGTTGAGGAAAGCTGTGCTCATCTGTATGTCACATCCCTGGAGTGTTTCCTACGGTAATGTAATTAAGTGTAAGTAAAAGTGATTGCCCTCAATGAGATTTACTCTGTGCCTCTTGGAAGGAATTAATTTCTGACCTGTGAAGAGGCTAATGAAATAGAGGCAAGGCGTTCAAATCTTCCATTATAACTCTGCATTGACGAGACCATGTGATTTTTTTTTTTTTAAATGAGCGTGTTTTCCCTTTGGGAGCAGTTGAGAGAGAACTGAGACTGAAATGATCTCTCTTGTGTTTCACGAGCACACAGAAGACTTCTTTTTGACTCGGGAGATTTTATACGCTTTGTGCTTTATTTTACGGTTAAGCATTTGGCAATTCATTATCTTAATTTCATGCCTAAAAACCTCGTGTCCTGCTTGAAACTCCACTCCAGTTTGCACAGCGCGAACTGTGAACATCAAGGAATCTGTGGAAGAAGCATTTTTATTTTTTTCTGTCCAGCCTCACATGACTGAAGAAATTGTGCTAGGTTGCTCAGAAGTGAAAAGTTTTAGTAGGAATAAATTGGTTAGGTATATAGTATGACAGTGTGAAAACACCACAGGGGCATTTTTTATACAAGTTTTATCTAATGTATTATGCTTTCATTTATTTTCATTTAATTAATTTTGTGTAATAAAATTGCTATAACTGTGTGTTATATAGAAAATGCACATGACAGAAAAGAATAAGAAACAAGGAACCAAAGTGTGTTTATTACACGTCAAGATCGCGAAACCGTTTTATTTTGCTGTGTCAAGGTGTGTCGTGAAAATTCTTCGTCAAAACGAACAGGTTTTGTATCGGTGACATCGTCACCTTCCATAACTGCTGATCCGCTTCAGGGGCGACTGCAGGGCAGGGTTCAGCCTGGCTGGGACGCCAGTCCTTCACAATGGGGGAGGAAACCGGCACGAAAACGGGGAGCGTTCGAACTCCACGCAGGGACTGGACACGGGGCCCCCGCCGCTGTGAGGCAGCATTGCTGACCACTGTCCCACCGTGGCGGCTTCTCAGTTACCTAAGCTAGAAAACTGCGAATTCTGCACGTTCACTTTGAGGAAGTGGAAGTGATGGCCGGGGGGGAGGGGCCTGTGGGGGAGGGGCCTGTGGGGGGAGGGGCCTGGCGAGGCAGGAGGAGTCTGCTTGTGGAGGCTGGTGGAAGGTGCAAGAGAACGATTTAAGGGAAGTTAAAAGATAAACCCGTTTTGCGCAACCTCCCCAAAGGAATTGATGAACTTTACAAAAAAACAAAGAAACACCGCAACGTTTCCTTTTGCTCCCATCACGTGGAATACAGAATACATTTTGATTTTAGTGTATGTAAACCCTAAAACCGTGTTCTATCCAGTCCACCTTCAGGACACGTGGGTTACAGCGGCGTTTTGCATGTCCGCTTTCAAACGGTAGCAGTGGCTAAAGCCGTGAATATTAATAAGCAGCAGATAACGCATCTTCATCAGCTGAAGATCCTTATGGAAAGAGTTCAAACTCTCTTGCATAGTTCGAGATGCTGTTCATTGCCGTGCCTCATTTTGCTGACCATGCGGCCTGGTCCTTGGAGATGCACTCTTACGTTCTTTTGCTCAGTTTGAAATGCGTTGTGGCTAAAAATGTCTCACCTTGCTCGAGGGATTGAGTGTTGCGTCCATTAATTAGCTGACTGCTGGTGTAATAGTCCAGGGTGAATTCTGCTGTCGTTCTTTGCTGAGGCGTGTGCCTGCGCAGACCGCGAGACCTCCCCCTTCTGCGGTCAGGTAGCGTCTTTTCAGCAGCGCAGCGTGATGACTGTCCAACCTGTCCGAGACTTTTTTCTGCCTTCATCATCTTGGTCTCCTATTTCTTAACTCGGACAGGGCCCTGGCGCGATGAGAAACGACAGAGTAGCTTGACGGCCAGGCCAGACTGGCCAGGGTGAAAACAAGTGGAAGACTGCTTTAGGAGGTGGAAATTAAATTAGTATCGAGGTTAATTAATTTTCCCACGCTGCCTTGGAGCCAAGCAGCTGTGCCAGAGGCCGTTTTCCCAAGCTTTTCTGTTCCTTTCGGGGAAAAGTGCGTGCCGCGGTGGTCTCTCACACCTGGGGACAGATGCGCATCTCCGGAGTTGCCCCCTGCGCAGTCCGGTCCTCCCTTTGTGCTCTGGGCCCGGCTGCCAGACAGGGCTGGGCAGAGTGAGCCTGGCCTGCCCTGGATCCAGTCCCAGCCAGCGAGTGCAGCCGTTTCTGCCACCTTCCTGACAGACAGGCTGGGCTGAGATCCAACAAACAAAAACGAACCTTCCCATGCGCCATCAACAAAGCAGTTCTCTCCATCGATAGATAATAGGACACTTCTTGTGTTTAAGTTAAGCCTCATAAAACATACTCCCTGCTGTAAAGTGAATGGTTTTTGTAGCCTCAAATGCAAAAGATAGATGGGTTTTACCTGTGTTACATTTTTACGATCCAAATCACAATTTAATGGTACCTACTGAGCTTGTGTGGTTATTATCTTGTTTTAAAAGGAAACATTAATTTACCATCTCATAAAAAGCTCAGAATGGCGTCCATAAATTAGGACCTGTTTAAAAAGCCCTATCTTAGATCTCCACGGTGCTCAATCAAAATGTGATTTTTTTATATTTAACATTTTGTTGTTAATGTTGTGATTGCTCAAGCACTGTGCTAGTTTTAAGTTCAAATTAAAAAAAATTACTGTGTAAGGTTATAGTGGCATGTCAAAATTACATTTCTTTCTTTCAGGAATCTGTAATGAATCTTGCCCATATTAAGTAAGCTCTTGTCAAAGGATTCTTTGCTGTGTAAGTCTTCTACTGTAGCACAGCTTTTCAATTTCAGTTTTTATTAATATGACAAAGACTAATTGTTTATTAAGTGAATGGGAAGGTGTACTACCAGACACTGTAAGATCTCTCTTTGGTGAAATTTGGGATTGCAAGAGCACTCTTCGAGACAGCATTCCACAAGAACCTGTGCTCATGTGTTCTGTGTTGGACTAGGAAATCCAGATATACAGTGTCTTGCAAATGTTTTCAGATCCTCCCTGTGAGGTGACAAAACAAGGCACACACATTTTTTTAAACTTCATATTTTATTAAAAAAACTGAAGCCTCAGACTCATACTGAAGACTTCAAAGGGCAAGATAAGTCAAAGTCTGAAGAAAATTCAGACCTGTGAATTTGGTGGAAGCACGTTTGGCAGCAGGTACAGGTATAAGTCTTTTTGAGTCTCTACCCACTTTTGCTGCACTTGTGACTCGGTGCAGGTTTGTCCATTCTTCTTGGCAGATCTGCTCAAGCTGTCTCAAGTTGCTCAAGAATCTCTCATGGACAGAACTTTTCTTTCTCCAGATTCACTGCAGGGTTCGAGGACATTCAGAAATTAATTTTAAGACCTTTCTTCATTGTTCTGCTGAAAGGCGATGTTTTAGGTCTGGAGCAGGTTTTCCTCTAAGATTTGTCAGTTCTTTGCTGCTTCTATGTTCCCATCAGTGTGGACAAGCTTCCCAGTCCCAGGCTAATGAGAAGAACTATAATATAAAGCTGCCACCACCATTATAGCAGTGCCCCTTGCCTGTACTTCATTCTTCTCAGAGGTTAAATAATTTAAATTATAACAGGACAATAAAGAAGTGGAACACAAAGAATTAGCAAGAAACCAGGTTTGCATTTTATTGGCAATTCAGCTTAAGGCTACTAAGCTGACATATTGCAGAATATAAGGATGTAAGTAGGGATGGTGTTAACTGCAAGATGCACTATTGTGGGTTTGCATCAGATGTACTAGTTTGCACATTTTTTGACTCTTCTGACCACAGAAGAGGAGTGGTCACCTTCAGTCACATACGGTGGGATCTGTTAGGGCTTAGAGTTTGCACTCAAGATGCATCTGCTTGTCTCATCTTGCACAGAGCGTGAGTAGGCGCTGAAATAAAAACGCGCGTACGCAGTTTCTCTTTCGGTCCGGAAATCAAGCCGCAGTCTTCGCTGGTCCCTCGTGTTCCCACTCCTCTCGGGGGTTTTCTCTGCCTCCAGCAGGTGTCGTTTTCAGAAGGGAGGTTCCCGGGCGTGCCCTCGTGTGTCCCTGCGTGCGTGTGTGAACGGACGCGCTCGCGCACAAACCTGTTTCATTTGTGCTGCACCTGCAGCCCTGACTCACCAGAGGCTTTTCTAAAAGTGGCAGGAGCGCCGCGGACGTGTCATACAGCGATGACAGGTTTTCTGGCGAGGCTTTTCAAACTGAATCATCAATGCAATTTTTGATAAGGCTGTATAACCGAGAGTGAATTTTATGACAAAAATGCTTGAGTATTATAGGTTACTTACGTCACATGTTTTTCAGGAATTCTGTAAAAGGAATTTATGGGATCACACACTTTTGTAAGTTCCTCTGATTGTGTGGAGCAGATAAGTCTCTTGCACTCTGCACAGCTGGATACTTGGCATAGCTGCTGAGTAATTATTCCATTAATGTTGTTCATAAACGTTAACCTGCCCAATAAACCAGCGTATGCTTCCATAGCGCCTGCAGATCAGTGGAGCCCACAAATACTGAGCAGGACAGAGAAAATGGCTAAAACCACAGAGGCTGCTGTACTTAAACTGAAGGAAACACTTGTTGTGATGTAGACACGTCAGGTACAGATGGCACTGGTTTACCTAAAAATGTAAGAAAGTGGTTCCATCAGAAGAAAGTTATCCAAGGAAAGAGGTGTGAAATACTGAGCTTCTTAAAATGTGCAAACTGGGTGTCACAGCTGTCACTGGGGAGGAGAGCAGAGTCATGAAGCCAGTTCATAGACGGAAGAGTATTAGGAGTCCATGATTGGTAAAGGCCGATAGGAAATTTGACCAGGGTGCCACGGTAACACCCCTGCTCTTTTTAAGAAATGACCTGGGATTGTTAATAACCACAGAGAGTCAGGACTTTGGTTTCATGTCTCATCCGAAGGACAGCACATTTTTTACAGTATAGTGTCCCCGTCACTATACTGGGCTATTAGGACCAGAGACTGCTGGGTGAGTGCCCCCTGTTGGCCCCACTATCACCTCTTCCAGCAGCAACCTTAGTTTGTCCCCAGGAGGTCTCCAATCCAGGTACTGACCAGGCACCTGGCAGTCCGAGGCTCCTCAAGGTCGCAAACTACATTTGCAGCAGCAGCTGCAGCTGCCAGAGAGCTTGATTTTTTTTTCCCAGCTGTTGCACAGCTTGTTTCATGTGCTGCTGCATGCACTGCAATCACCATGTTCCAGGAGCATGAAAACAGCGGCGCGCTGCACAACGATTGTATTCTTTTTTGTGTATTTTGTCGTAGGCAGGTCTGATGTCCCCAAAGCAAGTTCTCAGGAGCATTGGCTGGTGGACTCTGAGGCTGCTGACCCCCCAGCAGAGCTTCCTAGCGGCTCTGGGACTAGACAGTGGCGTGGCACAGGTGCGAGGAGAGCATTGTGCTGACCTGGCGTACCGTGGCGTGCTCAAACATCCCTGCGGACGTGGAATGGCGGTTCAAGCTCGACAGTTGGAATGGCGTTTCGGGGCTGTGCTTGTTTGATAGCTTTCCATCGTTGCCCTTCAATAACTGAAGTAACGACAGTTTCCCGAGGAACTTGCAAGTCGTTTTACAGGGGATTTAATTATTTTCTCAAATTACAGTGCAGAGAGGGGCCCCCCATGTGTTTTCTGTGTCTTCTGGGCTTGAACTGCTGGGCCAGTGTGTGCCTCCTGCCATGTGTGCCTTCGTTGATGAGCGTTTCAGTGTCCACCGGGGTTTTTTCAACGGTTGTATAAATAACTTCAGGTCTGCAGCTCTGGCAGGTGTGGAAACTGTGACATGTACCGAGACTGATAAGAAGGACTCCGGAGTCCCTCGGACCAATCCAGGAGACCCTGTTAATGAGGCTTTGCCATTTTGTTGCTCTGATTTCCGCAGCATCCATTATTCAAAGTGTGTGTGTGTGTTTAAATCTCTGAATTGCACGCTATTAAGACACAGTACTAAACATCGGTAAAACAAAAAGGTTTTTAAAATAGAACTTTAAATTTACGGGTTAAATCAGAATCATTTTAGAGAATATATATATATTCTGAATTTCAGACGTCAACTCTCAATATTGGACTGAGCTCAGTGAACTGCTCTCTGGCTTGACTGCAGTCTTTTACGGAGTCCTCATTCTGTTCCGCACAGGTGTCCTGTCCTGTGATGTACAGTATGCTCAGATCCTCTAGGGCTCACGTCCCGGAGCTCTCCGGTATTGCTTTGCAGCCTGAACTGGAGAGAAAACGGGTCTGTCTTCAGCTGTTCGGTCCCAGAGGTGGCAGTCGTGTTTGCTGCCGAATTTAAACGAGTGATGCTGCTTGAAGTATTGACGTAGAGTTGTACTCTATTCATTCATACATTTTTGCCTACTGATCTTTGAAATAAGTGCTTCAAAGGCGCTTCATAACATCAAGCGGAGTGCGTTCTGCGTTTGAGCCTCCTCGTGGGTTCGGCCGGTCTCTGGTCCAGGTCTTGCAGCAGCGCCGTGTGGGCTTGAGTAGCTGCAGTCTTTTAGAATTGTCTTAGGCTGAGCTGAAAGTCCTCTGGAAGTGTTCACCGTTTATACACGTCCTTGGGGAAAGCCCTGTCGTTTGGTTTTACAGCACCGTCTCGTGAAGCTAATTCTCTACAGCTCCGTTTGCTTCCCTCGTGGAAGCGTTCTGTTTTAAAGAAGGATTTTTAAACATTCTGCTCTTGCTGCTGTCAACATGCTGCGCTGCCAGAGCACATTTGCTGTCGGGTGTCAGACAGCTTCCATCATCTGCGATCAGAATCGCTGCCTGTTTGATTGTTTATCACTGTGAGCACAGCTCTCGCCAATCCCTTTATCACTCCAGTCCTGTTGCCCTTTTCCAGGGACTGCTTCTCCTGTCCTCTTTCTATTTTTTTTAAACGCTTTCCATATAAGACATCTCTCACGATTACCTTGAGTGCCCCTTTCTTCTGCAAAGGTGGTCAAAATCCGAATGTTTCACACTGTGGATGCAAAAGAGCTCTTTTTGATGGGACTGGACAGACTGTAATGCGAAATGCACATAACTTGACTGTTTTCTTTCAGACATTATTGTTGCTCTGTGTTAACATCTATTTTGTATTTGCAGGGGGCTTCCAATTAAAACAAAATACATTTTTAAAACTGCTAAATGGCAAGGATTTATCTGCGCATTTCCTTTCAAATACAGTGCTCTCTGCTTTTAGCACCTGAACTGGGACAGATGCTGAAGACAGTGGGAGGTGTCTCAGTACCAAATCAACTGATCTTTGACTACTGAATATTTCTTTGTTGCTGTCATCCTATCAACAAGACCTGTATTTCAGTGAACACTACAGTTTTTTTTTGCACTATTAGAATCTCCATTAACAGCAAATGAAAAACAGTTGCATGCCTTTAAGGCAATCCTGTGCTTTTGTAATCTTCTGTGACAGCAGGTTTCAGAAGTCTTTCTTTTCAGTTAACTTTATTGTGGCCCCTTAAATATTTTGACGGTTCCTGTGGTTCTCTCTAGATTTTATGGTGCCCATGCTGTGGCACTGCTGAATATGTCACAGCCTGTAGCTCACTCAAGTTCCTTTGTCTGCTTTTTAGGTCTTGGATATTCCGAACGGCAATACTGTGAGCACTTTAAGGGGACACACCAAGCCTGTACAGCACTGTGAGTTTACAGCTGATGGACGAACGCTCATCACCTGTTCCGAGGACACGACTATCAGGGTAAACAACTGCTGAATATCGTTTAATACTTTAATGTCATTTGGCATTTTAATTTCTTGTTTGTGCTGCAGAACATTTCAAAATGTCAAGAGTTGAATACTATCATCATAATGGGCTGCAAGAACTTGGCCTTAAGGGCAAGAAATCCTTAAAGAAGACGCCTCTTTATCCTGTCAATAGATACTGGAGGAATTCAGCCATACTCACTAGACTCCAATGATAGGCCTGCCGACACATTCTGCAGCTAGTGTAGCTTTAGGTTGGGTGAACATGCTACAGTCATCATAACAATTATGGTTTCACCTTCCACCCTGTCCATATTGCTTCTACGAAGCACTGCAGAGTCCACCACAGTAGATTAAAAGAAACGTTTCAAAAGAGACCAGGAGTCAGGACATCAGACATAGCTGGGGTAGCTTGTTCCATACTCTCAAAACGAATTACTGTATACTTCAAAACAAGGCATATTATATTGTGTTTATCATCCTTATTAATCTAATGTACACAATTAGAAATGTCTTGACTGTAAGGCCAAATAATCCATTTGGACTTTATCCCAATACTTCTGGAGGCACTGCATATTCACTCGGGGCTTAATATTGTCATTTTTTCCTGCCTTGGAGACACATTATGACACCAGTACTGTGTGAGTTACCCCAGTATTATAGAGCCATTTTGGCTGGCCTGAATCACTTAAAATTGTAGGTTTTATAAAGCCCATAAAAAAACATTTCTTTCCGTTTCTTTCTCTATCGTAGGTGTGGGACTGGAGGTCTTCAGAATGCAAAGTGTTGAAAGGCCACACAGAGCAGGTGAAGAAGTGCGTCCTGCTGGACAGCTCCAGACTCTTATCATGGTCTTTTGATGGAACGGTGAAGGTAAATCTTCTCTGCGAGGCATTCACAGTTCCCTCTGCTGCGGTGCTGCCCAGTTCCAGCTTGTCTGAGATAACACCGCGGGGAGTACACATCTTGTTTACACGTGAAGAACCCAATTTACAGCTTGGAGCGGGTGGTATTGGACCCCCGTCAGGGGAGATGTCTCGCCTCGTCCTGGGGGAGTTGTTGGTGATGTTTGAGTGGGGAGCTGCTTGCGGCACCAGCTGCGGAGGAACACGTACAGGTTAATTCTGCCCTGGGAAACAAGCACAATGTTTCAGCCTCTGATCCCTCTTCCGGTGTGCGAGAGAGAAGAGGGTCCCGGAAACATCCGTTTATATCCGATACCCATCTGCTGGAGCAGCGGCGATTAATGATCTCCCCCAGCTGATTGGTTCCCCATTTGACCTCTCCTGCCCATGATTTTCACTGATGTCTTTGCACACGTTTATAGAGAATTTAGGACTCCTCTTCACGAAAGCATCAGAAGACGAGGTTATCCTGCCCCTTGGATCACACCTTTCCTCTTCTCTCAATGACAGACTTAATGCCTTGGAGTCCTTTCCATTCATTTACAGATTTGAGCTTTTCACACCTCTGCCCCATAGCCCCATTCCTGCATGTGTGCCCATTCTCATCCACTCTGCCCTCTGCTCTCCTGTGCTTTATTTTCTCAACTCTAACTCTCTCTCCCTCACACCCGAAGAAGGCTCAACAGCCGAAATGCTGCGGTTCACTTTCCAGGGGATTTACCTTTACTTGTTCGCATTCCAAAACTTGCCCAGCATGGCCCGGACTGATACAGACATCTCAAAATGCACAGCGTACCCTACCCGTGCGCATGTGGTGAAGTGCTGGTCTGAAGGGACTGTAAAAAGCCTGGAGCTTTAAACAGCATCACATTTTGTGCCGCTGCACTTGTTGGTGCAATCAGAGACATATTTTTAGTTATAGCAATTAAAGCTGAAAAGGGTAAAGTTAGAACAGGTTACAGATTGTGAGTTTTACCTGCTGTGTAACAGAGGCATTAGCAGCTCTGCATTTACAAAGTCGGCTCTCTGCAGTGATGCCACGCTGTGCCAGACAAAAATGGCATATTTGTCCTTTTCATTGGCTCAGAAAATGTCCACATTGTTCATTGCAGTGTGAACCACATTTTCTCAATCAGCTTTGTTCTCTGAATATGCTGAAAGTTATCTTAATATAGAGCAGAAAGAGCTGCCACCATGTACATTAAATCTTCGGTTCAAGTGCTTAAGCTCTTTGACATACTTTTGCATTTGTTTGTCTAAAACCAGATGTACTTCCCTATAGCCAAACAATCCTGCAGGTCAGGTCCCTGCTTGTCAATGTTCAATGACAGCGAACGAAACGTCAAAAGCCAAACGGATGCTTGTTTTTAAGAATCTTTTTTTTTTCTTACAAAGGGACTTACAACTCTGAGGACTGGAAGCCCAGTGCATCCACCACACTAGGCTGCTGCAGTCTAATGAGAATGCTGTTTCAATCAGTAGCGACATAACAACAGATTGCAAGTTTAAAGTTCTGAGGCGCAGGCGGCCTCATTATACTCTTCTGGCTGTCAGTTCTATTCAAATTTAATCCAGCTGGAAGTGAGACTTCAATTTTCTGTGTCTGACAGCATAGAAAATGTTTCATTGAGACGAGGCTGGCGAAAGCACCAAAATGTTTAGTTGAAATCTGCACATCAAAGACCTCGAGTAGCTTGCCAGCTTTGTTTGTCGGAAAAAATAAAATCTATATCAAACTAATGGGCTGTAGCTCTTTGTCGCATGCAAAAACACTGCGTGGCATTACAACTGTAGCTGCTATAATTTGCGTCTGAGTGAAACACTGGAAATCTCCGCTGGTTGTTTCGTTGCTGTAAGTGGGCCGGGCTCCCCTGGGAACGCTGGGCTGGTTTGCTTTTGGCAGCAGAACTTCCATCGTTAATGCATGGGAGCACGAGGATGAGGGTGGAGGGTGGGATAGGTAAGAGAGACCCAGATGAGCCCTCTGACGCAGCTGGATTGTTCCACTGGGAGCGCATGGGTGGCACGGAATACAAAGGGAATTGCTAAGGGGTGGTCCAGGAAGCAGGGTGAGATCCCGGAATCTCACTGGACTTCCGCGCCCGGATCACAGAGAATGAAAGGGCGCTGCTGATCAAGGAGCAGCAGACGGGGCTCAGCTGTAAGGCTGGAATAAGATGCTGAAAGCATTTGGCTGATTCACATGTCTGGGTCAGAGAACCCCCAGAGAGCAGAGGGGTCTGTCTTGTAAGGACTCCTATACGGTTTTAGGACATGTTTCCAGGATACTGTGAGCAACGTGACGAAATGCAGACTTTGTTTCTGTCTGCTTCTAACCTGAGGGTGTGATTTAAATGTGTTGTTTTATTGTAGGAGTTTCTTTGGGCTGCAGCAGCATTTTTTTTACTTTGATATTAACTATCAGACTTTTGTATTTGGGAAATGTAAATACAACTGTTCCATCGGCCTTTGAAATAGTCATAACCTCTTGGTGGTTTTTGGAATTGTGCACGGTTTCCTTCCAGTTTGCTGGGTATAACATTTTTGCTGAGAAAAGGGTAAAGAATTAGAAAATTTCTGGTTCCGTATTCCAGATCAAAGCAAATAAGAGGTAGTAACCTTAAATGGAAGAAAAATGTTTAGAGCAGGAATATTGTTTTTGCTCTTCTAAGTTTTATTACGCATTCATTAACTTTCAGAAATCTTTGTTTTCAGTTATGACCAAATAGCCTAAAATAGCACATATTAGTTGTGGAGCTCTGTCACCATAAAATAACCTGAAATGTGCAAGAAGCATGTCGGTTCTAAACATCATAAAACATATGACTGTAGCTTTATGAAAAAATTGGTCTTGCAGAAGAATCTTTGGAATGTTGTCTTTTATTATTGCTTTCTTATGGGTACTGTTCATCCTCATTGTTGGTCTGTATAGACTCATTTCAGTAAGTTGCTGGAACACGTAATTTATATAATGAGAGCATCTGGGGATATCTTAAAGAGTTTAATGAAAGGAACAGTCATCTTCCTGTGGTTGTAATTATTTGTGCATGCTGCATCATTAAATCAATAAGCTTTTTTGAGCCTGATGTAAAGTTTTCGTCCTGTGCTAGGTGTGGAATATGGCCACTGGTGAGCTGATCCAGGACATCTTCTGCCACAAGGGAGCAATCCTGTCGTGTGACGTGTCTCCTGATGGGAAGAAGTTCTCCTCAGCCTCTGCAGACAAGACCGCCAAGGTGCGCACTGATGCGGGTGGAGATGTTGGAAATCAAACTCAATATAAGGCAGTACTTGCACATACAGTTAGTTAGCAGTGCCCCCTCAGGCATGTTTTAAATGTGGTTTGGAACCAAGTAAAGCTCAGGTTTTCAAAACAGTACAATTTAGTTGCACTGTAGATTAATTTTAATTAAAAAGGAAAAAGATGGCAGAAAAGCCTTTGGAAAACCTTATATATATATACCTTATTATACCCACTCCTTTGATCACATTATTATTATTAATATCTGAGCTAAAGGAGAAGGGACTTTTATAACATGTCAGTGACGAACTAGTGGTGAGACCATGGCTGAGTTTGATAATGGAGTGGGCCTGAAACCTGCACTAGCGATATAAGGAGACTGATGGACCCAAGACCATGTAGTGGGTGTCTGTGGTAAGGCACTGGAGCGGACATTCATGAAGCACAAAAATGGGAAAGTGTTTAAAAAAAAACAGCAGTTTTAGTCAAAGATGTAGTTAAAGATGGATGCCAAAGAGAACTAGATTTAGCTAAAGCATTGTCCTAAAGGAAAACCTTATATAGGCATGTTTCAAACAAGGTTATCTACCTTACTTTCACAAATTGGTCCTAGAAGCTTTGCTTTGCAGAAGGTGGTATCAAGTTTATGTATTGTACTTAGCTGCCATTAGCATCTGCTAATTTTCTGCAAACCACTATATAGTAACTGGATTTGAATTGTATTGTTTTCTTAAGACTTGAGACCATCAGTTGTGTGCCATATGGAAGGAAAGAGAAAACTGCAAACTGACATCTTGGGAGACACATGGCACACATGAAGAAATTGAAAAGCTGTTAACAAAGGCAAGCAAAAAAATTCAATTAGGAAGAGGCTGGCTCAGCTATACCGCAATACAGCACTGTCCTCAATTCTGGGGAAGGAGCTAAGTCTTTACCTGCAGCCACTGCTTTGTTCACCCCTTTTCCCAAATTTCTAGCAATTTACAGTACCTGCGGAAGCCAGCTTCAGACACATCGGTGTAAAGTGTAGACGTATATGAGACAGATCCCGGTCAGGAGAGTTAATTCAAACAGCATATCATCATCATCTTTAAATGACCTTACTGAGTGCTGGGGGCTGGTACTACAAGAGAGTCACTAGTCACGTGAGCATTACAGTATAGAGATGCACCAAATTGCAGGCGATTCTCCATTTACGTGATAGATGGAGTCCTGGAAAATCTGTGTCAATTAGAAAAGTGCCAATTATGGAATAACTTCCCACAATGTAAATAAAAGAGGGGATATACTGTATCCAGGCTTCACTGACAGCCAGAGGGAGGAACTCCCAAATAAAAACTATTACACATTTTTTAACAGTGCAGTTGTCACTCATAGTTATACATTTATATCACTATATAATTGTTATTGATAGACAAAGCTAAATTTGCGCTGTGGAAAAGATTTAAAACAACGCGTGTTGCTAACGTTAATCGGACTGTAAATGGTGGGTGGTGAACAGTGTGGTAATGGCATGTGTGAAGCCGTCTTCAGTCCTACTGCTGCAGTAATACCACCTATTTTAAAGTTTCGTAATGAACTGCGATCTGGTTTTGTAACGGAGCTTTAGCAGTCAGCATGGGGCAATGGGAGATGGTAGTTGGATGAGAACTGGGACAGAGACGGTCCAGCTGGGGTACATTGTACCCTGCAGCTGGAGCACAGCTGGCTACTAGTTTGTGTAGATCGTCTCCAGAACTCCTCCAAGCTGCCTGTTTCTGGTCTCACCCAAGTGAACTACAGTATCAGCGTCCTTAATTAAGAAGTGGTATATACAGTATTTCTGAGGCGTGTTCTACTAAAAGCAGGTAAATTAAAAGCACATCAATTGAGAACTGACTGTATCTGGGGCATTGGCTGCTGCTGACAGTTTATCCTGTTGATTTCTAATGGCTCTCTGCATTAGGATAGTACGCAGGGATTTATTAGTACTTATTTTGTGAAATTTGGTCTCCTCACCAGACATGGAAAAATAAAAATGTGCTGGTGCTAAGTGGAGCAATATCCTGTGTTCCTCATCAGAGCGGCTGGGCTCTGAGACAGATTCAGGTCAGTATCAGAAGGGAGTAGATCAAGAGAATCCCCTCGTTTAAAGTGAAACTACAAAACGGCATCGCAGGCAAAGTTTAGTTCTGCCTAACTGAGCGACCACAAATATCCTTTGCCTTGTGTAAGAGCTGGAAGATCTGAGCCTCATCAAGGAATTGGGGAGATGTCACTTGCATGCTCTGCGCAACAGTTTGAGGCTGAGGGTTTTATTTGAAATGTCAGAGTAGTCCATTGAATAATAATAATAATAATAATTGCTTACACTTATATAGAGCTTTTTCTGGACACTCCACTCAAAGCTCTTTACAGGTAATGGGGATCCCCTCCACCACCACCAGTGTGCAGCCCCACCTGGATGATGCAACGGCAGCCATAGTGCGCCAGAACGCTCACCACACATCAAAGAAGACTGATTGGGTGCCCTGAAATTTTTTAACAAATTCAGTAAAAAAATGTTTTGCCTAGTGCACATGGATAGCCTTGAACACAAGTCGTTTGGTCTTTTCTGCTCACAAAGGCAGAATGCTCTTCCTTCAGACGGCCTGGTCATTGCCAACGTGCTGCACATGTCATGGAAAGTCCACTTCCTTGCCCGCCAGGTGGAGAAGCCCCACCTCACCCCATCCAAGAAACAGAACAGGGCAAAACCCTAAAATACGCACAGGACATGTCATCAAACCTGACAAACGTCCACTACGGGCGTTCCCAGTTCTGCCCGTCCTCTTATATGGGTCCTTTTGGGATGAAATTAGTAATATTAGTAACGGGAGAAGCTGTGTTATGCACACCTGAAGAAGCCTCCACGGCCGAAACGTTGTGTTCTCTTTCTTCTTTTTTTCAGCATGGAATAAACCTATAACTTGTTCCTTTGCAGCCTACGCATGCTGACGCAGCTCCCCACCTGAAGCTGTGTTATTATCCTTACTGCTACTACCATCACGTATCTTGGGAGGGCTTTTGAGAGAATGTGACGAAAGGCTTTTGTTAGAAAGCAAACTCCTTTTCTGCCTCTGTAATTGGAAACGCGAGGCTCCCCTTGGACTGGGAATTACAGTGCCGCATTTCCGAGATTGGATTTTGAAGTTCAGGGCCGAGCTGCGATTGTGTTTTGGGTGGGGGTGCCTGTTTGATGGTGTGCAGTGCCTCGCCTCTGGGTTTGCTGTGGGTTACACATGACGAATGATGACTGCCTACTGGTCACACCGTGAGGCTCCAGCCCAGGTTGTGCCGACGTGGAATGAGGCTGCTTGTTCTGAAGTATTTGGTGTTTAACCTGTGAAGGTAATGACCAGGTTTGACGTCTTCAGTGCTATATGTATTAATTGGTTTTTAATACCAGTACAAAAATCACTGCTCTTCACAGCACTGTTTCCTTAGGAAGTCATATTGCAGCAGTGGGTTACTTGGAAATCAGGATATTAAAAATACATAAAGATAAAACTGAGCTATGTTGTTTCCAAAATAATCTATCTGGAAAATGCTTCAAACGCTAAAAGATGAATAATTAAATGCCACTGGCGTTTTGTGTTTACACGCTGTATTTCCGCATAGATTTGGTAGGTTTAAGCTCTCCATTTGAGTCATCTCATAAAAGTGCAGATTGATAAAAAAAAAGACGCCAGCATTTGTGCAGTGGAGCTGTTGTGTAATTGATTTGGTGTTGTAAAAGTTGAGGGGTCCGTGCGCCTCTGCTCAGGAAGCACTGGAAACGCGCCGGCGTGCGTCGGTGCTCCCAGGCTTGCGGTGCTCGAACCTCTACACCTGTTCCCCTCGCAGGTCTGGAGCTTCGCCTCCTCCGGCCTTCTCCACACCCTGACGGGACACAAGGCCTGCGTCCGGAGCGTCCGCTTCTCGGGGGACGGCGCGTGCCTGGCCACCGGGGACGACCACGGCGAGATCCGGGTAACGCCAGCCGCGGAGCCGCGGAGCTCCTGTCTGCCTGCTGTTCAGTAGCACCGGCCTGGGAACAGCTTCGTAGCTTCTCCCATTCAAGGGCAAGCTGCTCGATTCGGCTGTGATCGTTTCCTCTCGGTTTCTGTCATCTTCCCACGGCTAGAGTTCTTGAGTGGCGTTATTACGAGTTCCTGTCTGGTGGGGCCCCTCTTGAACTTGAACTTGAACTTGAACTTTATTGCCATATGTAACCAGTACTGGTACAATGGAATTCTTACTTACAGAAAGTCTCTCGATTGTAAAACAAGTGTAAAAAACAAGTGCAAACAGTGCATCAAGACAATGTACAAACAATAGACAATGTGCAAGTAAACATGTAGACAGTTTGAATGTAAAACTCTCTTGGTTTGGACTGATCGTGCTCAAGTGATGTAGAGCCTCTGGGCTTCTAGATGAGAGAGGTTTCTCTTCCTCTCCTTCCCCGTGCAGCCCTTCTTACAGCGCAGGCGGAAGTGGGAATTTATTTTTTGGTGAGCTGTGGTGTGGGACGATCCAGCAGACTCCTGTTTTTATATACGGATCTCATCTTACGAGTCATGTTTTGTTTCCCCCCCCACCATGTGTCAGATCTGGGGAGTGGTTGACGGCGCCCTGCTCCAGATTTGCACCCGGGGCGACAAGGACTCGATGGAGTCGCTCCACGGAGGCTGGGTGACCGATCTTCATTTCTCCCCCGACGGCGAGATGCTGGTCTCCACTGGAGGGTATATAAAGGTGAGTGACCCCAGAGAGCTTATCTCCAGTTGATCTGCGCACAGTCTGGACAGAAGATGGACATGGACCATGGAGCTTTTTAGTTTCCTCTAAGGGTAGTCAGTGGCCGTGATAGAATAACAAGCTCCTGTAATTGTGTAATTGTCGTGGGCATGATGTCACTGATATAGGCAGTGTGCTGAGCTTAGACAATCATGAGACAGGTAACTGTTTCCTGGTGATGACGTGTTGTTGTAGTACTAATCCTGCTCAGCATAGAGGAACTGCAGACTCGGATATCTAGTGTCTGCACTTGGTGAAAGAACCAGTGTTACAACCTGCATGCTATCAGTGAGTAAATCAAGAAAGAATGCCCATCATCAGGAGATTACAGAGGTGCAGGCTGATGCTGCCTGACTTAATTTTAACAAAAAGCAGGTGGACAAGCAGTAAAATGCATTCAAGTGAACTTCCTTGGCCAAGACATTGAAAGATCAGATTTCCTTCATCAGACATTCATCAAACTACTGAGCCTGTGTACATGCACAGGGCTGTCCCCTAGTTTATTCAGTCAAAGCAGGGTTAATAAAATGATGAATAGTATCATAATTCATGCAGTTAATCAATTACTCAATACGGAGTACCTCTACCAAAATAGGAAAAAAAAAACAATCAAGGTTTATCATTATCTTTACCAGAAATTATCAAGTTTGAGTTTTGTCAAATCATAAAACTCAATATATAAAGATAAGTATAATTTTAGCTGTGTAGTGAATAATGAACTGTACAACTGTAATGAATTATTTAAAACCTAATTTAGCAGACGTACTTGAATTTTACAGTAGCATTTTTCGTAATTCTTTAACTGCATCTTATATCGCAAAAGTGCATGTATAATTAACTTATGAAATACCGCACTTGGAGTGAGAAATTAGTCCACTCACTTAACAAATAGAACAAAAAGACCAACTCCAATAAAATAGAAAAGCACTTATAAAAAACTGTGGTGTAAGGTTGAATCGATATTTGCTGGGACTTCCTCTAAGGTAATAAATAGATTTCAGTTTTTGCAGACTTTTTTGCAGAGTTTTTCAGACTGCATTTTCAGATGGTGAATCAAGAACTTCTTTGAAAGTCAAGATTTAAGAGCAGTGTTAAAGCAGTCAATGAAGGGTTTTTTTTTTTGCGATTATGAATGATTTGCCCGGTCAAGGGATGTGGTGGAAACACGACTGGCAGGCGGTCTTCCTGACCCCCTTGGGAACACAGTACCTGCAATGGGCTCACGCTAGCTGCAGTCAGCTGCTGCTGGCAGAAGAGTCATTGTCTAGCCAAGTGCACAGCGCAGAGCTGTGTTATTTTTTTTTAATGAAGCAGAAGCAAATTAAACTAGTTGGAGAAAGCTTTTGAAAGTGTCAGTGATTTGTAAAATGAGATGGACAAAACGGTACACTCGTTTGAGACGCGATGCTCATTCATAATGCATTGGGTTTATAGATAATGTTGTTTTCCTGCAGTTCTTGTTCGTTAATCACCTAATTAGGCTTTGAATTAATGCAAAACCTAATGTGGAGGCTGCAATTCTTCCCAAGGTTGTGGAGCAGCCAGCAGCAGACATGAAGCCCTCCTTCAAGCCGCTGTTCTCCTGTTGTGGTCTGAGTTCAGGCTTTGCCCCAGACTTGGCCCGGATGTGCCCCTCTGTGTGATCACATGCAGTGAATACAAACTGGAAGCCGCAGGAAGCGATCGGAAAGGGAGCCCACATCACATGAGGGGAGCAATTGGATAATTGAAACGAGGGAGGCAGCTCATGTATGGCTGCGAGTCTTGCAGTGTGCTTTGTGCTTTCTGTACTTCGCACAACAGGCGTGATATACCGAAAGCCATTGAAAACAAAGTAGTTTTGGATCCAAAAGCTTTATTTTAATACATTGTGGAAACGGACTGTATTTTTTCAGGTATAAGATGTCTTCATCTGAGGAAAGATTTACCAACCCAGTTCCAAAAGTGTACAACCAAAGATTCCCGTTGTTCTGACAGCAGAAGACAATTAGTAATACGATTTCCAGTTATGAGGCTCTCTAGTTACATTATTTGGCTCAACAAAAGAACTGTCTGATCTCGACGAGGACACATTACATTTCCTGATTAAGTTTTGATCAATGGCATTAATAACTGCTTGAGCCCAGGCTGTTGCTGCATACAGGTTTTAATCTAATAATACTGGCTTTAACCCTGATCACTGTTGCTCACTCAGCTGTAGGTCTGGCACTCTTTCAGTCAGAGCGTTTGTTAAGAGCACTGGCGGTGACCAACATTCACAGAGCAAGGTGACATTTAGTTCCCAATCTGGACACCAGTCCATACTGAAAGTCTGAAACACTTGCCGGAGCTGTTTTTGAAACAAGGCGGGTGAGTCGAGTGTGGGCTGGTCAGGCAGTCTGATGGTGGCGCTCCTTGCCTTTTGGTTTTTGAAGCGCTTGTGCTTTTTAAATCTGGAAGCTCAGAGGGCTTTCTGATGCCGTGCTCTGGCTCTGAATAGGTCAAACCTTGGCTAATAGCCCACATTTCTCCTGGAGGCTTCTTGGGATTTCCTTCTGGTGCTCCATATACTTCCTCTGACACCTTACTTTCATTCCGGGCGTTGAAGACATCATCCTTCCTGGTGGGGAAGATTCTCTCATTCATAAATCATTTACAGAGCACCTTCCTCTGCTGAGTTATTGCTCATATTAGAAGTCTGGGCACCAGTTGTTTGTTTGCCACCCGGCTGCCAGTGAGCCGAAGCTGCCCGCCTTCATATTCACTCATGTGATGAAACTGTTCCTGCTTCGTGCCTTCACTGCCCACATCCTGTCAGGTTTTTCATTGATTATTCTGCTCTCGTCTTTGACTGTTTTGTCTTCTGTGTAACAGTGGTGAGAGCATATTGGACATTTTGTTATCGAAGAATGGAGTCTCTTCTCGACTGACTCATCTGGCTAAATGAGCGAAGACGCTCCTCTCCTGTTCCTCCTCATCATCACGGAGGCTTGCTGGAGGTGTTAAAAATGCCCAGGCTTTGTGAATTCTATACAAACTGACCTCTGGGCTGGGTCCTGCTGGCTTCTGTTTGTCGAGAGCTCGGAGGTTTGATTTCAAGGGAGGTTTGAATCAGGCAGTGTCAGTCCTATCAAAAATGTCAAATACAAGTTGATGCACCTTGTCACAAAAACCTGGATGCTGTTCGAAATTAGTACCTTGTTAATAAAGCTGCTTTATGCCGCATTGGGGTCAGCTTGTTCCAGAGCTGTGCTTGGCTTGCTTGGAGCTTGCCAGCTCGTGTTGAACCAGAGTGACAGAAATGACAGCGCGCTGTTCCCTTCAACAAGCCTTCTACAAAAGTCTCCAATGGCTGTTGGCTAGAACAAAGTGAGTTGATGCCCTGAAAGCAAGATTATTTTTTTTTCACGCTGTTCCTGGCAGTTCTGGGTTCCCAGGTATAGACCAGACGTATTGCGTGAGCTTAAATTTGTGAACAGTGTTATCAAAAAAGTTAGGCGCCCTGCTTCTGTCCTTTCCTGTAGTTCGTACCTGTCTAGGGAGAAGGCTAGAGCTACAATGTATCACCCTCCGTCTGCTGTCTAGGCCTTTAGTAACACTTTCTACACACAATTTAACCTCTGTGGCTGAATTGTTGATGTTATTATTCACTGCTTATTGGCTAATCTGTTTTCTGTGTGAGATGTGCAAGATTGGTTTTCTCTGCTCAGTGGACGACTGTTCTCCCCCTAAAAGGTATTTAAAAATGGCATTTGGAATGACTGTGCTTTATGAGAAAGGAGTGATAGGAATAGTATTTTGTGCAATTTGTGAAGCTGTGAATGCTGAATATTGTCAGAAGTATTGAGGTACACTCAAGTGAGAAAAAATAATTTTGCTCTGTGAATGGTGTGATATTTGATTTTGGCCAAAATAGCTTTGTAGATTTGCCTCTCCCAAAGGGAATGAGCTGATTTTTTGCGTTTTGGTCGATGCTTAGAATAGCCAAAGCAAATTGTTCACCTTGAGTTCGGTTTTGCGGTTATTTCTAATTTTCACCATGACATCACTGTGCCCAGGTCATGCAGTGACATCACTGTGCCCAGGTCATGCAGTGACATCACTGTGCCCAGGTCATGCAGTGACATCACCATGTCAGTTGTGTTCCATAAAATTGGAGCTTCTCAGTCTCCCAAGCTGTAATTCAGTTCGGTCTTCATAATTGAAGTGTCTCATTGTAAAGCACAGACACGACTGCATCTGATCTTGAAGAGATGATACAAGGTCACTCAGGGGGCAGTGCTGCACTTTACCCAATCCTCAGTGTAAGCAGCATCTCAAGATAAAAGGATCCGCGTGAAATCTGAACAAGAAAAGTCTTTTCTAATAAAATGAATTTCATTTTAAAAGATTCTGCACCATGTTTGTTAAAAAAAACTGCGTTTCTAGTCCCGCATGTGGGCAGGCCTTTCTAACACTTAAAGCAAAGTGTTTTTAACCATTGACTTAATTTGAATTAATTTCCATTTTCTCATCATTCATTATTCCACAGGTTGTTGATAATATGAGGCAAATCGTCTTGCACTGTGTCCTGCTCTGAGCTGTGCTCAACCCTTGCCTCGCACACTGAAAGCAGGATAGAGCTGTTCCAGCCTGTAGCTTGTGCAGCTCTGCTCCAGTGGGAATGTGTGGCATGTGTGCATTAATACACCTTACCTGCAGTCTCCACATTGGAACATTTCAATCCAGCAGGCATTTCCAATCACAGAGGGGACTTTGACAGTGAACTGAGATTCATATCTGCAAACATATTTTCATCAGGGCGTGTATTTAAAAAAAAACAGTGCATGCAAAAGTTTTAAAAAGCCTCATGCTTTGTCAGTGGTGAGGTACTGTGTTCTGAAGCACGATGTTTATTCACGAACGTAAGACTTTTAATCTTCAAACGTCTGACATTTAGTACTGAAGGTTTGAAAATGGTCCCTACGGGTTATGGGAAT